TCTGCAAGGCAGGAAAGGTACGCGATGCACTGGAGCTCTCAAAGGAGATGCTGAATCAAGGACTGACACCTGACATTGTGACTTACAATACTCTTATAAATGGATTATGCAAAGTGAGATGGACACATGCTGCTTTAAATCTCCTAGAGAAGCTACCCAACGAAAATGTGCATCCTGACATTATCTCATACAACATTCTCATTAGTTGGCACTGCAAAGTCAGATTGCTTGATGATGCGGCTATGCTTCTAGACAAAGCAGTAAGTGGGGGAATAGTTCCTAATGAGCGAACGTGGGGAATGATGGTGCAAAATTTTGTCAGGCAGCCAGTCAATCTTGAGGGTTACTAGAAGGATTTATTGTTTATGCTGTATATCATAACGATTTTGGGACTCTGCAGCTCGAATCTACAGTATTTTTCTCTCACAACAAAACAGTTTCAGCCAGCTTATCAGCCGGCTTTAATACCAGCCGAACAGGCCAAATAGTAATAAATTTTGAGTTGTACTCACCAGGTACAAGTAAATTTAAAAAGTAGCAACTTCTAATGAAATGTGCTTGTTGCAAAATTACTGATGTTTGTAGCATAAGCATACTTTCTTTATGTAGTAGAATCTTTTATTCCTTTGAAAATTTTGACCCAACCATGTTCTGTGCTCTAGAATTTAGAGAACCTGTTATAGGCATTTACAAACTGTATGTGCATACATGTTTGGTTGTCATTATGGCAAACAAGGGCAACTACCCAACTGAAACAATGGAAATCTTCATTTTAGCAGTGATGTAATATGATTGGTAAATTGGTTAATTGCGTGAAGTGTAGCTTGATGACATATAATGCTGAGCTTTGCAGGACTGTTGGAGCCCTTTTTCTCTTAGATTACTGATTAAGCACCAAAGCAGTGCTTGAACGGGAAGGGAAGATCTCTGGTAGCACGGTGGTCATGTTGTGAGTGACATATAATGGACCTTTCTACTATTCCAACTGCACATCCTACCTGCAGTATTGAACTGCCCTAAGGTACAGAAATCCTAGTAGGCAAGAAAAATCTGTTAACTGGGCATACAGTACTTGCTTACATAATCTTTTTCTATTTGAAAAAGCAGCATATAGTATGAACACAAGTGCACCCGAAATACTATTTCACTGTGTGTTTTCTTGAAGTATGACCCAACTTGCTTATAGTCATGCAGTGTTCTTCAGAATATGACCACTTCAATTGAGGTGTCGAAGGGTAGTTCCAGTGTCTACTTTAAAAGAAAAAGGGCGTGGCTTGAGGGAACTTGATAGTTTTGTTGAAGGATAGCATTGCAACGGTGTAGACTAAGGTAGTTAGAGCATCTCCAAGAGTTTGCTATCTCAACTTGGCATCCATATAATTTTGGCAAAACAAGAAAAAATAGCCTCCAACAATTTGGCAAAACAACTTGGCATCAATAGCAACTTGGCAAATCTTCCCTCCGCGCGCGCAAATATGCGTGCGCGTATACGGCTTGGCATCCGGGGCTCTTCATTTCTTAGCGGGGCTCTTCGTTCGCTTAGCGGGGCTCTTCGTTTTGTTAACGGGTTTTTTTATTTTACCAAGTCAAAAATGTCAAACTCTTGGAGATGGATTGTTTTTATACTTGGCATATAATTTTGGGAGTTGACAAATCACAAGATTTGCCAAGTAAAATTTAACAAACTCTTAGAGATGCTCTTAGTCATATCTTGACCGTGGTGACCACGAACGGCGTCCACGATCTCAGCCCGTGCGCGCCTAGCTCCGGCTCTCTGTAACTTGTATATGTAACACCCAGAGAGCAATACAAGATATTGTTGGCTCCCATTCTTCTACATGGTATCAACTTGCGCGGGTTGATCCTCCTGCTCCCTCGCAAATGCACTTGAGGTTTAATCTGAATTTTTTGGCATAACTAGCCCATTATTGTGCGCTCTTATTGGATTCTCTGAGTTAGCAATATCAGAAGAGATTGTGATATTGCTGTTGAGATTGTGATGGGGTCCTGTAAGTTAGTGGAAATAGAATTGGTAAATATCGTAAACTAGAGATAGATTTTCTCTTGATTTTTCCAAAGACAGGGCTGTATTGGTACACTCCATTATCAGCACTATGATAACTGTGTGGGTTTTCTAATTACAGGAATCCCGTTTGGTGCAGGATCAAGACCTTGATCCTTCATATAGATGAAAATTGTGTTATGTTACTTCTATCTGTGGGATCTGTATTCTGTAAATGATGGGTTTTGTTTTGTCTGTTTGTGAATTAAAGTCGTAGTAGCAGCATTGAGAAGGGGGCAATATATAGATGAATGCCAACACTGTTATTTTAAACATGAAATACTAAGGTTTAACGAAAACTAAATTATTAAAATTAAGCTTATTGTATTGCATAAGTATTGGCTAACTAATGTATTGTACAGTATGGCCTCTATGAGGCTCTGCCCCTGTGGGTGGCTGCATTATTCTAGCACTACTGATCTGGATCTTGGATGGATTCACGCTTTTTCGTGAAAAAAGCGTGTTTAGTAAGCTTTTCACTCATTCATTAAACCGGATATGACCACAAAACTTGGAGTCATGAAGTTTGATCAACTGTACCTTTTCCTACAGAATAGAGATGCATTTTGTTTCATTTGGTGACTGTAAGCTAACTTTTTAATAGTCTCCTCTTTTCTCCTGGCTTGTGCAGTGTCAGTGAACCATTAAGTAAGTAGGTGAATACCTATGAAGCCTGAACCAGAGCCTCCCTGGGATGGTTGACACTGGTCGTGAACTTGTGATGCTGTCTGTGGTCAGCATTTCCACGGCAGTTAAAGTCAACATTTGGTCTCTCCTGAGATTCTGACATGTGGTCTTTCCAAGAACGCTCCATCATGCTGAACCCAAGCACTTCGATTGATGAAAAGCTGATAAATCAAGCTTGTGGCATAGGAAAGCATGGCAAGGCCTCTCAGGTATACATATCCTGTATGATGGTGCCTATTTCCAGTTTGTTGAAGTATTATTCTAACCAGGTATTTCCTATTTCTGTGCAGCACAATATATTGGGTGGCATCCTGATCCAGGAGCTTTTCCTCTGTTCCCAGCATTGCAGAGGCGTTCACCGACTGAATAACCTTTTAGTCTTTGGTTCGGGCGATATTGGTGCTGGACTGCTGGCATCCTTCAGTTTCCATGTAGCACTTGTCAGGCCCATCGCAAGCGGCCCAGCGTCGTGTGTCTCCGGCGCACTGCCCACCGTCCCCAAACTGAGGCCAGCGTGCACTGGTCGTGACTCGTGAACTTGTGATGTGTCTGTGGTCAGCGTTTCCACGGCACTTAAGGTCAACATTTGGTCTCTCCTGAGATTCTGACATGTGTTCTTTTAAAGAACACTCCTTCGTGCTGAACATGCTGAACCCAAGCACTTTGATTGATGAAATGCTGAAAAAATCATGCTTGTGGCACATGAAAGCATGGCAAGACCCCCCAGGTACTATACATGTCTAATATCTTGTATTATTGTGCCTATTTTCAGTTTGTTGAAGCACTGTATTATTCTAACCAGGCATTTCCTAATTCGGTGCAGCACAACATATTGGGTGGCATCCAGGAGCATTACCTCCCAGCATTGCAGAGGCGCTCACCGACCGAATAACCTTGTAACCTTGTCAGTGAAGCAGTGAGCTAGTGATAGCTGATAGTGGCGGGGCAGCAGGAGGGCTTGCCTTGGGCCCGGACAATACGATATTGGTGCCGGACTGCTGGCATCCTTCAGTTTCTACAACGATTTGCTTGCCAGGCCCAAGGCAAGCGACCCAGCGTGGTGTGTCTCCAGCGCACTCCCCACCGCCTCACCGTCCCCAAACTGAAAGCCAGCGACCAGCGTGCGAAGCGGCTCGGCCGCAGATGCAAGGCGTGGTCGTCGTCGTCGTCGCTTCCGAGGCTTCCCCAAAGCACGATGCGTCCATGGCCAAGGCGGCCATATGCGTGTGTGTGTGTGCGCGCGCGCGCGCGCACGTGGGAGCAAGAGCAAACTGGATGGGTCATGGGAGCTGTTACCGTTCCTCGCGTGTTACTATTTAGGATTTTTATTCACCCTGCGGCTGTCTGCTCGAAGCTGTCAACGGCTTGGCCCGCTCCGAGCACGAGTGAGGCCCCAAAGAATTTCACCCTAAACTATCACATCGAATCTTACGACACATACATAAAGTATTAAATATAGACGAAAAAAAACTAATTACACAGTTTGGTTGAAAATCGCGAGACGAATGTTTTAAAACTAATTAGTCCATGATTAGCCATAAGTGCTACAGTACTAACATGCGCTAATGATGGATTAATTAGGCTTAATAAATTCGTCTCGCATTTTCCAGACGAACTATGTAATTAGTTTTTTTTATTAGTATCCGAAAACCCCTTCCGACATCCCGAAACATCCGATGTGACATTCAAAAAATTTCATTTCGCGAACTAAGCGCGTGTTCAGCTACACCCAAAAATCCCAAAAAGTGCTACAGTACCTGTCACATCGAATGTTTGCGGCCTGTGCATGAAGCATTAAATGTAGACGAAAAAAAACTAATTGCACAGTTTGATGGGAAATTGTGAGACGAACGTTTTGAGCCTAATTAGTCTATGTTTGAACACTAATTATCAAATAAAAACGAACGTGCTACAGTAACCCCAAATTCCAACTTCCTAAAACTAAACACGCCCTAAGCGAAGCCGAAGCTGAGGACACTGGTACGTGTCTGCAGTCCAGCCGCCCAAGGCCTTCGGTTGGCTGGTTAATTTTCTGTTTTGGCGATCGATGAATGCTGCTGCCCCGCCTGCTGTGGCGGTTGTGCAAGAATGCAAGAGGGGCGGACGGGCGGGCGTGCGCTACGCCCACGCTGCGGCCGTGGGCCTTGGCGCTGGCGCGCGCGCGGCGACGCACGCACGCACGCGTCGGCCTCGGCGTCGCGTCTAGGCCGTCGAGACACCACGAGCGCGGCGCAGACCTGCACGCACACGCTCACGCCGGGCCTCCTTTCGCTGCACTGCACCGCCTGGCATGGCAGTCCGAGTGCACGACCAGCGCTGCGTTGCTCTGCCACTCGGTCAATGGCGCTGGCCCCACACGGTTGACGGCACGGTAACCGTATCCCTTGTTGTCTCGGTCAAAATGGATGTACCACCACCACTCGTGCGCACTGCAAGGAGGTCAGGCGTACCTGTGTCCTGCCGATGCTTCTCCAGTGCTCGCTTGGACGCTTACCGGGTGGGAATTACTAGCGGTAAAATGACAACGGCACACCAAACTTACAGCAAACGATCGACCTCGATAAAACCTCCTCTAGAACACGAGACCCTCTAATATACAAGAACATAAAGGGGGGAAACACAGGATTGGAATGCCAATAACACTTTAAATCCCTAAACTAAAATATTTATAAACTAACAAAAGTTTAGAAAGAAACATTTGAAAAGAACATAGGAAAAACATACGAAGCAAACACAATAAAAAGTGCTTTGTACTTTTGTACTGCGCACCCGTGTACCGTAACAAATTGTTCGATAAACAGTGGTGGCAGCACTGGCTGCCTTGGGTTGGGGTTGGGTTTCCTTTCCTTTTCCATTTTTATACTTTTACCTCGGCGTGGAAAAGAGGGCAAGTAGTGGAAGGAGAGACCCCACGCCGTCGCCATGGGCCTGCGCGCGCGCTGCCTGCCGCACACGCAGTCACGCACACGCGCACCCCGCCCGCACGCGTCCCACCGTCGCCGCCCACGGCGGCGCGCCTCTCGAGACGCCACGGGCGCAGCGCAGACCTCCCTGCACCTGCACCCGCACCTGCACCCGCACGTACGACGACGACTGGCGGGTCATAAAATCCTCTGCGCGCTGAGGTCAATGACGCCGGGCCCCACCCTCGCGGTAAACCGCCTCCGCCCACTCCCTAGTGCGCTCGCTCATCTCACGCCAGTCTCAAGGCCAGCCAGTGTGGCCAGTTTTCAGTGTCCATTGCTCTTGCTTCTTCGCCCAGCACAGTAAAAACTAGCAGTAGCAGTATAAATGATGACCCAGTCAACACAAAAGCTGTTCACAACAGAGCTGACGTGCAATGACGCACAACTACTGCTGTCCGTGCCTCTAAGCGTTTTGGATCCACCGGAATTTTAAAAATCCGGATAGAAAAAAATCTCAAAGCCTTAGAATCTCGTCCTAACAGCGGAGATCATTTTCATCTTGAATCCCCATTTTGGAATCTCATCCAAACATGTCCGAAAGAAATGGCGCAAGAAACAAACAAAAACGGTGGTTGCAGAGTAATTATAGCACTTTCTTCTTCTACCGGCATGTTCGCTGCAACCAACAATATTTTTCTCTCGCAACGAACCTGCACAAGCCGACCAGCCGGCTTATCAATTGAAGTCACAAGACTGACATGACCTGATCAACACGATACAGTACTGCAAAGCAGCTCAGATCACACCAGCGACGCTTCAGTTCGACAGAGGACAAGGAAACCCAAAACTGCCCGGGATTCCTTCCCTTCCCCCGGCCGCGGACAACTGAAACTTTTGTTTTTCGCAGGAAAAAAAAAACCCCGACGGAAACGAAAAAAGGAGGCGTTTTTTGTTTCTCTCACTGTTCCGAGGAGCCAGAAAACCGCTAAAACACCTGAGCCGGCCCTCGGACGGATCGACAAACGCGATGGAAAATCTTCTGAGTTCTGACGAAGGGGAAAAAAAGGGGAAATTTTTTTTGGAGCCGGAGAGGCGGAGAGTCTCTGTTCGGTTCTTGGGTTGATCAGCTGGCCAGCAGCAGCAGGGACGCCAGCCCGGCGGCGGCTGCGGGTTCAGCTTGCTAGCCGCCCCGGGCTCCTCCGGACGCCACGGCGACGGCGACGGCGACACCACGACTGTGATCTTCTTGTCTTCTCCGCCGTCGGGAATGTCGTCGTCGGCCGCCTTCGGCTTCTCGTCGAACACCAGCTCGAACTCGCCGGAGAAGGTGGCGGCGGATATCGGCGTGGCGAGCGCCGGCGCCGGCGTCTTGTCCTGGCTGCTGCTGCGGGCGTGCGGGGACAGCCACTTGGCCCGCATGTACTCGTGCTTGCGCCACGGCGGGAAGTGGAGCCCGCGCTTTTGGAGACTCTGCCGCGCGGCCTCCGCCACGACGGCCACGATCCGGCCCAGCCGGTCGGGAGTGCCCACGAACAGAGGCGGCAGCGCCTGCAGCGCCGCGCGGTACGCCTTGGTGGGCCGCGCCACCTCGAACTCCGACCGGAAGTCCACCTCCACCACGAGCCGGAAAGTCGCCCCGGCGCCGGACCCGGACTCCACCACCACCGCGTCGATGTACTCGTGCTCGCCGGCCGGGTGGGAGGGGGTCTTGTCCCACCGCGACGTGCACACCGCCGCGTCGTACCCGAGCGCGCGGAGCCCGTCCGCCACGGCGCGGCGGATGTCCGCCTTCTTCCGCCCGGAGCCGGAGCCCTTGCCGCAGCGCTCCGCGATCCGCGACGCGTCCGCCAGGAGGTTCAACTTGTAAGAGGTGAAGCAACTGACATGTAAGGATTGTTCAAAATGTTATCAATGACATTATGTGTTATGGTATTGTGTATCATCTCTATTATGATGAAGCTGGAATGACAATCAAACTAACTGAGCACAATCAAACTAACAAGGTACATTTCAACTTAACTGAACATTGCAATTCTAGAACCATGCTTTAGCAGTCTGTAACACTAAAACATGAGTAATCTTACACTGGAGACTATCAATCAATCCATTTGCAGTTTGGACCTGTTGTTCATGAAAGCTAGCTTTCAGAGTTAATGTTCATGAAGCATAACAATTAGAGTTTACAACAGGTAGTACAAAAGATAGCAATTGGAGTTTTTGTATCCAAATTGTAGCGGTTAGGACTTTCTACTCTACAAAAGCTAGCAGCTTGGACTTTCTGCTATATAAAAGTAGTTAGGACTTTGTGCTATACAAAAGCTAGCAGTTTTTCTGCTATACAAAAGCTAGCAGTTAACAGTTTCTGCTATACAAAAGCATGCCTACAATAGATCACTTTCTTACGACGCCTTCTTCTTTGGTGCTGCTGGATCCTTCTTCTTTGATGCTACTGGAGCATTCTTCTTTGGTGTTGTTGGATCCTTCTTCCTCTTCCTGGTGGTTGTCAAGGTGGTAGGAGGCACAGGTATTCCTGTAGGCCTATTCTTGAAAAGTTGACTAGGGTCATCTTTTGGTCAGCCCTGAAGAATTCCACATACCTGTTAGCTAGCCATCTGGAGGTGAGGCTCTTTGACTTTCCACTTCTTATGGCAAGTGTGTGTGCCATTGTATGTCTTCAGGACCATTCCATGGGCACTGCTATCAACTGATCCATAAAGCTTCCAGGGACAACCCTCTTCATGGTGTGCCTTCAACCTCTTCTGCTCATTCTTGGAGTAGTTTTTTTTAACTCTTTCCTTTATGCTATATTCAGTGACTGCCTTCCTAAGTACCTCAACTGATTCAAAGAGCATACCCACTTTGGATATTAGATTGCTCAAGTATTGCTCCGTGAAAGACCTGAACCTAAGTTTCCTTCCCATTCTCCATCAAATTCTAGTAGCTGTAATCCTTCCTCATCTATAGACACATCATTATCATAGTCTAGTAGCTTTCCTTTCTCTGCTCTCTTGCCTTGTGCTATGATCTTCCCCTTAGCAACCCCCTCATCTGTCACTTGGTCATCTATAGACTGAACAAATAAGTCATCATCATCCTCTTCCAATTCATAGTCCGAATCATCATCACTCCCACTGTTGCCACCATCATTGCCCCTGCTTGTTTCCTCCTCCTCTTGTTCTTCATCTACAGTGGACCTTTCCTTGTTATTGTCAACATAATCAAGCTTCTAGGGGCTGATATAGCCTTAGGCAAAGATGCAATTGGGTTTTCCACTATGTCATCCTCCCACGTCAAACCTTCTAGATTATCATCATGATCCACATACACTACAAAGTTCTTGACTTTGTGCACAAGCAGTGAAGCCATAACAAGTGTTTCAGTATATGATTCTATCACCCTAAGGCCATCTGCTAGGGTCAGACCAGGCAGCAACCCGTACATTTTCGTTGATGGACTCTTTGGATAGTCCAACTGGTCAACAAAATCTTCTAACCATAATGGAGACCATGTATCTACTTTGGAGTGATCAAACCAACTGATTTTCTCATCAACATAAGCCTTGCAACCTTGACCAACAAAAAACCCGCCATGATGGAACTCTACAATGAACTCTTCATCATCATCATCACCTATAGCACGGACCCACAACCAGATCAATAAACCTAGCTAAACAGGCAACAAAAAGGGGGAAAATCCAAATCCAAAACCCTAACCATCAAAAGGTTGTAATCTTAGCACCCATGTTTAAGCACAACCAAAGAACTACGGTGTCGAATATACGAGCCTGGGGTACCTTCACTGCTCGTATACCTGATCCATGCCTATCTACCGAGCCAAAGACGACGAGGAATGAAGCCCATGAAGGCTAGGTGAATCCACCAGGTTGGAGATCAAGTCATCCCGAGGATATTTGGTGCCGTCATATCTAGGCAATAGGTAGGATCATTATGTGGTGCATTCCATGTAACAAACTAGGAAACCATCTGTTAGCCGATCGGATCTACTGTAACTCTACCCCCCGAACTATATAAGGATGGGTAGGGGCCTCCTGATTGAGATCCCATCTTCTACATTCTAGTGCATAGCTAAGAGCAGCAACCCCTGTAACCGGGCATACGAATATAGAGAGAAGCTACTTCAAACTAGACGTAGGGCATCACGTGCCTGAACCAGTATAATCCCTATGTCTTGTGTGCTATCCATTTGATTCATCTAACACGAGTGGTTGCTAGGTATTGCCGAAGCTAATTCTTTCGACATACGGCTCCAACCACTAATTGTTGCGAGTAGGTCATGGATGCACTCACCGTATTAGGGCGGGGATTCCCCTCTCTTGCGCTTGGTGGCCACCATCCCGTGGATTCTCCGTGGTCTGCACCAGCACCCGCTAGGATGGGTGGGCCACCACCCTACTTCACCAGCGAATCAACGTCGCTCACAGGAGATCACCGCCGCTGCCTGCCATAGCCACCATACCACCTTCGCCTTCCTCCATGCCGACAAGCATGATGGAGAAGTGTGGGGAGAGTAAATGAAATGAGGGAGAGAAGCCAGAGACCTGAGTGTGCAAAGCTACCAGCCCTCATGTGCTGCTCACGTGCGCTGCAGCTGCCTCCAAAGCTAGGTCATCGCCACTATGGACAGCCACATTATATTAAAAACATAAATGAAAGGGTATGGACTATAGATGCACCACTTAAAAAGTTTATGGACCGGAAATACCACTTTCACAGTTGATGTACCTAAGTGAAACATGGCCAAAAGTTAATGGGTCAATGATGCATTTAACTCATCCAACAACTTCTTTAATTAGATCATCAAATATTGTCATCCTCTACTTCGAATTTTTCGCTAGCAAAAGATAGAGAGCGGGATTGACTCTCTAGACTGTGCACAAAATACAACCAAGTTGTTAGACGACAGGAAGATAAAGAGGATGATTTTTTATTGAAATTGTTCTACAAATAATGATTTAGAGAGTGAGTTCGAGAAAGACTCTTGAAGATGCTCTATGGAGCTTTTGGAGATGCTCCAAGTCATTTTGCAAAGCAATTTTTCTAACATAGCTAAAGCATTTACGCCAAATGTTATAGAAATTGGCTTTTATTTAGTTATTTTGGCTCAAATAGATAGGAAAGGTGGGAAACTTGGACACTTGGCTCTTTTTAACTGCTTCATTCAAGATGCTTGTAGGCTAAAGTCATTTTCGCTTTGGGCATTTGGGAGGACTTTAGCCTAAAACTCATGAAAAAGCTAGAGCCAGAGCCCTCCTAGAGGGCCCTTGAACATGCCCTAAAAATATTACATATGACATATACAACTAGCAGTCAATATTGAACATTTTTTTCTTCGTCTAGAACATTTTTTTCCCTCTTTGTGAAACATTATATCGTTTTCTGCTATAACGTACAGTTGAGAACAAATATTTTATCACGGTTAAAGGAACAGATGAACATTGCTTTAGTTTAAAAAATATTCCATTGAGTGAAGGGCGGGTCTGGTGCAAGCGGTAGAGTCTTACCGCCTGTGACTGGAAGGTCCCAGATTCGAGTCGCGGTCTCCTCGTATTGCACATGCGAGGGTAAGCCCTGCCACTAACATCCTTCTCCAGACCCCGCACAGATCGGGAGCTCTCTGCACTGGGTACGCCCTTTAGTGAAAAATATTGCTCATGGCTTAAACTATCATTTTACTCCCTTAAGCAACAGCAAAAAAAAAACACTTGGTTGTGATCCGAAAATTTAGTTGTCGGAAGAAATCAAGGTCGGTTGAACCAGGCCTTAAGGAATAATGGGGATGCCATGAATTTTAGAAAAAAAAATATATCAGCATCTATCGGTTTAAATAAATGCATTATCAAGACACATTTTATAAAACTAATTTAATAGTGTATCTGATGCTGTGTTTTCTATAAACTTTATCAAAGTAAAAAAAAAACTTAGGACAAAGCTAAAACGAACCATAATCTAGAACAAAGGGAGTATTAGGTAGAAAATCAGACTTCAAACAATACTTAAAGGATGTAAAATACTAGATTTTACCCTCGAGAACCAATTTCACTTTGCTAAATTCAGCCAACATACATATATCATGATCCCAGAAAAAGAGAGTTTACAAACACGTTAGCTTGATTCTCGTGGCAAAACCTATCACTAAGTGGAACCTTTTGCTGCTAAGTGTATATAGCTAGCTATTTTCGTCCTTCGATCCTTGTCTATCGTCTGCATAACAAGTCTGGTCGTCTGATCGTCTAACAGTGGGGGGCATATCAAGTCTGATCGTCTGCATGATTGATGGCGACAACAAATAAGTGGCGATGTTGAAATGATTACTGATGTTTACATGTGTATCATTAATAAAGTAAATATTAGTATTAGTAGTGACCAATTTGTGCATATCTCACGCCCTGTTCGCTTGGCTTATAAGCCGTACTTTTTCAGCCAACGAACAGTATTTTTCTCTCACAGCAAATTAACCAACGGTACTTTCAGCCATGGCTTATCAGCCAAGCGACCAGGGCATCAATTCTCATGGCAACTATTACTCCAGCAAAGCTCTGGCTTGGCTGTCAAGCCTCTTGCAGCCTGAGGTTTCCTAATAATCATAATAATAGATGGGAAATAGAAATTTTATAGAAAAGCTCTGGCTTGCCAGTGCAGCATTGCTCCTGTTGGATGTCACTTGTCCCATATACAGATCCTGATTCCACATCGGACCTTGCTTTGCATTGCATCAGTTTCAAGCATAATGGCATTTACATTTTCCTGATACGCCCAACGTAGTATTTAGAATATCATATTACAGAACAGAACGAACCAACCAAACACCTTCTAAGAAGCAAGCTACAACTGAACAGAAGGAAACGACACTATACAAAAGCTACCAACAGGCAACCTGGGGTTCTTAAGAAGCAAGATACAACTGAACAGAAGGAAACGACACTGGACAAAGCTACTAACAGGCAACCTGGGGAAGAAACAGTCTAAACCATCACCCGAAGCTAGACAAAATAAAACCAAGGTCTGATGCAAACGCCAATTATCACCACCGGACCACTGAGTTGGGAAGTCGCCCAACACCACCCACTGTTCCAGTCAAAGAAGTCCAAAAGGGCTATCAGAAAAAAGGTCAGGTCCAAACTCGAAGGATTTGGCATGCTTCTGTGGCTACTGCATACCTTGTTTGAGCTTATGATTCCCCGGGCACAATCGTCTTCTGCCGCAACTCTTTCCTACATTCCTCCATTATTTCTGCACGTAGTTTCCTCTCCCTTTGTTCCCATTGCCTATCAAAATAAGCTTCCATCATAGCCTTGATCTGAAGGTCTCTTTGGGCATTCCTCCGCGTACGACTTCTGTATGTGGATATGTCATCTGGGAAAGCATGCTTCCATGTAACTAGTCCTACCCCTCTTACACGACCTGGATGCTCTTTTGTTCCTAGTGCGAGTCAGGACGTCATCCTCCCTGTCGGTCATTCCCCTCGCAAAAAGATACCTCAATGAGCGCTCATTCCACCCATCAGTATGCAGAGTAACACCTTTTTCTGCTAGCTGTTGTAACTGCTTCTCCCACTCTGGAATTTTCCTCGCGTAACCACGAGAACCAGTGTGGTGGGGGATATCATTTTTATGGGAGTTAACAATATTTACTTCACTCATGGCGAGTGCGTCCTCAGATAGCTTCCAATCGACAAACTGTTGCCAGTATGGTCTCTGAAAAGGGTAATGTTCCCAAATTGGCTCTGTTCCAGTCTGCACACGTTCGCTGTTCAACTTGTACTTGAAATATCTGAACGAGATGCCCATACAGTGCAATGCTCGATTCTTGGCAAGCTCCTCATAAGCTTGTGGGAACTCAAAGCTCTCCTTCAACGTCTTCCAACATTTCTCCTTGAGTGCAAGCGGAACACACCATTCCTTCTCATTTGGCTTTGTCTTTTTATGCCAGAACATGTATTTGATTGGCACAGTTTCCCTCACAATCACACCCAGGGCGGTGTGGTACGGCCCATCCACATTTTTTGGTTCAATGGGCTCTCCCGTGGGATCGAACTCGGTGATGACATATCGGCCGGCGGGCATCTTGCTGGGGCCTCGTTTGGTCCTTTGGGTAGCTGATGTATTTATGTCACTCTCCTCTGTGAGTTGAGCCTACACATTGGTCCCAAATCAGTAAATTAAAAAAAATGGAACTGTAATTGAAACACTAATGAAAGAACAAAAACAATTGCAACTCTAGTAGAAATAGTATTGCAGCACTAACAAAAACACAACTGCAACTCTAGTAGGACCACAATTGCAACTACAGTAGAGAAAATGCTCCAACTGAACTAAAAACATCATTTACAGAATTAATCATGTAAAACTATAAAAAAACAAAATTGCAACACTAATAGAAACACTACTGGAAATCAAGTAACGCTAGCCATTGCACAATTTATCATGCACATAAACACCTAAAACTGAAAAATGACCACACCAGCAACTCTTCCATAAATAACAATTAAAGCATATGAAATTATGAAACATACCAAAAAAACAATCTAAAGTATATGCAGTGAATTACAAACAACAATAATTTCATATTTACCTCAACTTGCACTTTGGAAGTACGTAACTTCTTTGGAGGACATTCTGCTTCTATGTGTTTAGAACTTGATTTTCTAGAACCAGCATCAGCTTCTGCATCATCAACACCCCTGGGGCGCTTATTTTTGTTACGCGAGCATTGAAGAAGAGGTGATGATTGAGTCACATTAAGCTCATTTATAGCATCAGTTGCAGACTTTAATCGCTGTTCTTCGGTAGTCATCACTGAACAATGATAAGGAACCTTAAACAAAAAAAAATCAGAAAAATAAAATAAAAATGGAAACAGCTATGGCCATATAGGGAATTCCAGTCTTTGGGCTGCATTTATTCTTCAATAGCTTCTTTGTAGTATTCTGATGCACATATTAGTTATTTAGTAATTGATAGTTATTGCTTTGAACCATAAATTGCAGAAATGCTGAGTAACACAGCCTGACATCAACTTCATCAATCATGAGTCATCTCATCATCTACCTTACGTGCCTTGATCTGTGAAGCGACAGGAGGCAGTGCAGCACTTCCACCCACAGAAAATTCCGCTGCTAAAGAAAGGGTAGATTCATCGACAGCTACTGCCTCATCAACATGTGCATTCCTGCATAGGATGACTAATTGTCAACATGTAAGTTTGGCACAGAGGGTTCCCTCTCAAGCAAGTCACCCATCAAATATGCATCTGTTTTCTCGGCTGAATGATCAACCACATGACCTTGCGGAGAAGGTGATGGCAGTGGAACTGTGGAACAAATGCTGGATGCATGGGTGAGATTATGTGTTGAAGGTTATGATCAGCTCTGTAAATGATTCAAAGCAACACATTAAATTTTGCTTTGATGAAAAAAGTAGTAGAATGATCTTGTGAAGGAAAATAGTTGACAAAAGAACCCGCAAGTATTGGCAATTGCTACAAATGATGATATAAACTAGTGTTGACACCACTACATAATTCATAAAGCCGTCAAAATGAGCATGTAACAATAAAGCCTGACAAGAAGAAGATTAGGCACAGAAAGGACATATCAGTACCAAAATAATGATTAAGTCAAGACACTTTAGTTACTACCACAACCTGAAAAAAAAATGCTCATTCACTAGCACAGTCAACAGACAAGTATGGTAGATATATATTTCTTATGCAGGCAAGATAGTCAATCATGCTTTCCATGTAAAGAAACACATTCCAATATTTTTCCAAATATTTTCACCAGGCACAGTGGCACTTCTTATATATGAAAACTTGAAAACTTTTACACAAAACATGAAAGGAGAGGCCACAGTAATACATCAACAACTGTTGCCCAACCAACTGGTTAATCAGGACTGCAGAGTAACAGCAAAACAATGAGGGAAACAGACAATACCCGAGCTTCTTCAGACAATACCCTCTTATCCTCATCAGCACACAATGCGTCTCACGTTGCAACGATGCTCCCGAGGACAAGTAGGGTTTCTTGCCAACCGTGACCAATGAGGCAATGACCAATCAGACACTGCAGCGGGTTGTGCCAAGAGGAGGCAGCTCAATCGGAGGGGAGACGTGCGAGCAGGGAGGGGAGTAGCCGAGTAGGGGACAGCGGTGCGGGGTCACCAGGGGAGGGTATCGGCGCCGGCGCCTCGGCAGTGTGGTGCCATAAGCGAAGAGGAGCGTCAGCTGGCCAGGAGAGCCGCAGCGGGGGCAGACCGGAAGAACAAGGCGTAGGAGGGATGCGCGGCGATGCAGCTGGGAGAGTTGTGCCGGTGTTAACACCAGCAGAAGGTGGAAGGGGATTGGGAGTCGGCGATGCTGGAGGAAGGAGAAGAACAGGAAAGGTAGCGATACAAATTCAGAATTTATATGGAGTTTTTCTTCTCTCATACGGAACCACGCATACCGCCAGCTTATATTACACATGCCACTCAGGCCAGCGAACCTTCTATTGGCTGGGCCACGCGCCTGGGCCTTGGGCCGACCTTAGAGCCTTCACATTCTTCAGTATCCGTGTGAACATCAGGATGGGCCTGGTCAGCAGTAGCCTTGTCGTTGACATTCCCCCTCCCTTGAAGAGCGGCATGTCCCCATGCCGGAGCTCTTGGAAATTGCTGACGGAGATGAAGAAGGGGCTCCCAAGTAGACAGCTCAAGAGGCATCTGGGACCACTTGATGAGAACTTGCTCCACTGGGTGAGGCCCCGTGGTCCAGCGGTGCTGTAGGACCTGTTCTGGCACCTGCAGCTCAACAAAATCAGAAGGCAATGTAGAGGCCACCACCTGAGAACCTGCAGACCGCTTGAGTTGTGACACGTGAAACACCAGGTGGATGGCAGCAGACTCTGGCAGCTCCAGCTTGTATGCAACCTGGCCGACGCGAGCTAAGATGCTGAACGGGCCGAAGAACTTGAAGGAGAGCTTGTTATTGGAGCGATGGGACACCGAAGATTGCATATATGGTTGGAGTTTAAGGTATACTGAATCTCCAACAGCAAAGACCCTCTCAGATCACCCTTTGTCGGCCTGGCGTTTCATTCTTGCTTGTGCTCGGAGCAAGTGCTGTCGGATGAGATCTTGCATAATAGCACGTTCTTCCAGCCACTTTGACAACTCAGGTACAGGAGCTACCACATCAAGATCCAATCCCAAATGTCTCGGCGGATTGCCATACAATACCTTAAACGGTGAACGGCCGAGAGCAGAATGATAACTTGGGTTGTACCAAAATTCTGCCAACGGAAGCCACTGAGTCCAGCGAGTGGGGCAAGCATGAACGAAGCAACGGAGGTATGTTTCCAGGCTCTGGTTAACACGCTCAGTCTGTCCATCGGTTTGCGGATGATAAGAAGAACTCATGCGCAAAACCGTGTGAGCCATAGAAAAGAGAGACTACCAAAACTTGCTTGTGAAAATCCGGTCGCGATCCGACACAATAGAAAGAGGCATGCCATGAAGGCGAAAAACAGAATCCAGAAAGAGCCAAGCAACTGACGCAGCTGAAAAGGGGTGATGTAGGGCCACGAAATGAGCATATTTGGAATACCTGTCGATCACGACCATGATGGCATTAGCGCGTCCCGAGGTAGGTAATCCTTCGACAAAATCTATGGAAATATGTTCCCAAGAGTTTTTTGGCACAGATAGAGGGCTCAGCAATCCGGGATATTTAGCCCTGTCAGGCTTGGCTTGGGCACAGACCGAACAAGACTGGACATAAGTGCGAATGTCAGCTCGCATCTTCGGCCAGTAAAAGAGTTGATTGACCTTCTGGAATGTAGCAGGAACTCCAGAATGACCGCCAATGGGGCTGTCATGGAGAGCAGAAATAACTCGCTCAACACATCGATATAAACCCACCAAATACGAGATTTGTATTTGATAATGCCTTGGTGAAGACTGAAAGGAGGCCTAGCATCGGGATCAATTGCTAATCGTGATGTTGAAAGAACTGTGCCTCCCCGGTTAGAAGCATACCACCGCATTAACTCCTAAAGCCGCCATGAGTAAGAGATGATAGGGCCCATAGCTCAAGAGGGCGGACCGTGGCGTGATAACGCATCGCAAGACACCATTCTCCCCGCCACGCCTGTCTTCGACCTTGTAACGCACTCAAGCAAGCGACTTGGTGAACACCTTCTACGCCACCACGATTGGTGAAGTCGCCGCCGCTCATTGAGGTGAATAAGGCTGCTACTGGTCCGTGTGTATGATGAATTCATTATGCGACAAGTAATGACGCCATTGCTCTACCGCCATGAGGATTGCCAGGTATTCCTTTTCATAGACCGATAAGCCTTGGTTGTGGGGACTGAGTGCCTTACTGCAGTAAGCGAGAGGGTGACTGTTTTGAGTGAGGACTGCACCCACGCCAGTTTCCCACGAGCATCCGCCTCAATGTGAAACGGTACCGAGAAATCGTAAAGCGAGCACCGGTGAGGAACAAAGTGCTTGCTTCAAAGAAGCTTGGAATGCAGATTCGTGAATTGAGGTCCATATGAACATCATATCCTTCTTGAGAAGTTCGGTCAAAGGCTTCGCAATGATTCCAAAGTTACGCACAAACTTGCGGTAATAGCCTGCGAGTCCCAAAAAGGAGCGCAAAGCTTTAACATTAGCAGGTTGAGGCCAATCAGCAATGGCTTTAACCTTGGCAGGGTCTGTGGAGATTCCCTCGGCGCTCACAACATGGCCCAAATATGAAATGGATCGCTGCGCAAAAGTACACTTAGACAGCTTCAAACACCGCTGATCGTCTACCAGCCAACAGAAAACTTGAGCAAGATGAGACAAATGTTCTTCATAGGAACGGCTGTATACCAGGATGTCATCAAAGAAGACGACCACAAACTTGCGTAGACCAGGCCTCAGAGTTTCGTTCATAGCGCCCTAAAACGTTCCTAGAGCGCCTATGAGCCCGAATGCCATAACGCAGAACTCATATTGGCCCAAATGAGTCTGAAATGCCGTCTTATATTCCTCGCCTGGGTTCAACAAGATTTGATGAAACCCAGCCCGAAGGTCCAATGTGGAGAACCAACTAGCACCAGCAAGTTCATCCATGAGTTGATCGAACACTGGCACTGGAAACTTGCCCTTAGCTGTAATAGCGTTCAACTGTCGGAAATCCACACAAAATCGGTAGCTGCCATCTTTCTTCTTGACCAACAATACCGGAGATGAGAAGGGACTCGAGCTAGGCTGGATTAAACCCTGATCAAGCATTTCAGTCACCTACCGCTCAATTTCATCCTTCAGGTTCGGAGGGTAGCGGTAAGGGCGGATGAAAACTGGCTAGGCACCTGGAATCAGAGGAATGGTGTGGTTACACGCTCGGTGAGGAGGCAAGCTTGTAGGCGGCTGAAACAACCGAGGAAACCCCTGTATCAATGTCTGAATGTCTAGAGGAAGGGAGTCCATGGTTAATTCATGAGAAGGTAAATCCTCCACAGTACAGAGTTGCATGATCAACGGAGATGCATCTGAAGAATCCAAGCCTTGAAGCAGCGAGAAGCTATTCTGATATGGAATAATAAGCCATTTGTCAGTGAACCTACATAGGACTGAACTGTTCTAACCAATCCATGCCCACAATAACATCATAAGAATGCAGTGGAAGTACCCTGAAATCTGACTGGAACGAGCACTGACCCACTGTCCAAGTCAATCCACGCAGCAACCGAGTACTCTGTAAGTGAGAACCTCCTGCCACTTGTACTCGAGTTGATATTGGCTCGCTCTGTACATTGGCCAGCTGAGCTGCTACCGCCGAATTAACAAAAGATGAGGAGCTGCCTGAATCGAGAAGAATATGAACCGGCTGACCCATAAGACTTCCTGAAAACCTGACAGTTCTTGCTGAGGCAGTCCCTAATACAGCGGCCTTAGATATAGCCAGGAATATCTGTTCATCAGGAGGATCCCCTGAAGTATCTGGGTCTTGAGCTGTGTGATCATCAAAATCACCCCATATGGCTTCCACTACAAGTAGGACTTCAGGCGCACACTTGTGGTCCTTGGACCATGGGGCGGCACACTTGTAACAGAGGCCCATGGTACGCCGATAAGACTTGATGGCCATGAGCTTGGCATCGTTGGTTGGAGCTTCGCGAGGGGCAGTCGCTGGAGGACCATGGTCCTACCGTGGAGGTGGTGGTAAGGGCAGGGATCCCTTAGTAGAGGTAGACGAGCACGCCGAATAATGCCAATCACCATGTCTCGGCGGTTTCACCGGGACGTTGCCAGCCATCTCCTCCTGCAACAATGCCAAAGTCGCGGCAGTTTCGAGGTCTTTTGGACGATGCATATGAACAACACTTTTAATATCAGGGCGTAGTCCATCAATGAATCGCATGGTATAGAACAGGGGGTCACGAGATGGTGAATAAACTTTTAGCTGATCCACCAACTCAGAGAAATGAGCAAGGTAATCGGATACTGTGGAGGACTGATTGATGTGGAAGATTTGTCTGATGAGTAATTTGTGGCGATCGCGATCAAATCGATCGTGGATTTGTGCACAGAAATCCTCCTAGGACCACTCAGGAACTTGAGCCTCCACAGACTGGTACCACAGAGAAGCGGCACCATCAAAGTGCATCTCGGACACATTAATCCACTCAGACTGATGGACGAAGTACATTTTGAAATACTTCTCGGCACGGGTTTTCCAATGGCATGGATTGTCACCATCGAACCAAGGAAAGGGAACTTTCGGAAGTTTGCCATTGGGATTATACAAGTAATTGGGATCGGGTGGGTAGTGGTTTGTGCGATTATGATATGGTGGATGGCCAGGCATGCGAATGGGGTCTGGTGGATGGCCAGGCATGCGAATGGGGGCTGGAGGGTGGGCAGGCATGCGAATGGGGTCTGGTGGATGAGGGCGAGGTGGAAGGGAACCGAAGAAGGTTTGTGGATTTGGGGAACGAGAAACTTCCGGGCAAGTCGGACGAGGCGTAGGAGGACGATAAGTGTACAAGCTCACGGGACCATGCGACAAGAACGGCGGGGAAAAAGGATATGGTGATGTACCATTGGCCGGGATGGGGATCCAGGTCGTCGGGACACCGGATCCCGAATCCTATGGAGTCGATGCAACATGGGGCCCAACGACGGGCTGATCGCCAGGGAACCCGGCAGAGTGCTGCGCGGCCGCCTTAGTCGGAGAAGCAGCGGACGTTGCTTCGTGAGGCAGTCCATCGAACACCTCGCGTGTGCGGGAGGCCTCGATGCTCTTGAGAGCGCGGCGCACGTCGAAGACAAGGTCCTCCATATCCGGGCTCCAGGCCGCGAGTGAGGCAGTTGTGGCTTCGAGGGAGGCGACCCTGTCGTCGTCGGCGGCCCGAATGTTGACGCGGAGACCTTCGAGATCAGCAAGCCGCTTGGAGAACTCGACGTCGCGGTCGGCGTAGCTGGCCTCCAGGCTTGCCAACCGTGTGGAGACGGCCAGCGGCTGTGGATCCGTGGGCGTGGCCTCCAAATCCACGACGCGGCGGGAGAGGTCACCGAGGAATGAGGCATGGGAGGACTCTAGGACGTCGATGTGGGCGATTGTAGAGGTGGAACGCTCGGTGATGCTCAGCTCCAAGGCGTCGAAGCGCTTGGACTGCTCGTCGAACCGAACATTGAACTTCTTCATCTCGTCGAAGAGCAACTTGAAATTGGGATCCATGGCTCCACGAGAGCGTTGGAGATGAGTATAGTGGGGTGGGAAGAGTGGGAGGGGTTCCAGGATGGAGAGAACGAGTCTCTGATACCAATTGTTAACACCAGCAGAAGGGGGAAGGGGATTGGGAGTCGGCGATGCTGGAGGATGGAGAAGAACAGGAAAGGTAGCGATACAAATTCAGAATTTAGTTGGAGGTTTTCTTTTCTCATACGGAACCCACGCACACCGCCAGCTTATATTACACATGCCACTCGGGGCCAAATAACCTCCTATTTGGTCACACGCT